TACATTATTTTTAAGCCTTTTAATGGCAGTTATATGTAACGTGAGAGTTCCACTGTAAAACTCCAGTGGTGTTTTTGCACCTTTTCCTTGTCTAATTACAGCTTGTAATATTGTGGAATCAAAGCAGAGGTCTGAATGTCCAACTTTCTTCCGCACAGACTGAGACTTCGTCTGGAACTGACCGCTCAATATGTGTTTGCCGGCGGAGCACTTTAATGCAATTTGACCGGCTTTTTGAGACTGAGAACTTGATGATTATGTAGGCACCACCTTCGTCGGTTGCGTTCATTTATCACTATCTCTGTTTAACCTTTTGGCATATGTTTATCAATGACCTTATAAAAGCTAATCTACAGATTTGGATCCAGGACAAACTTCCCCCGTGAACTCATGAGTCGTCACTACAAATCACTAAGTAATCCCTACGTTTGCATGGTAGATCTAAAGTGAAATGTTCATTCTCATACTCACAAGAGCGCTGAGCAAATTTAAATGCTCTTGTCCTTTCAACGGAGATTGAAGTATCTGTTATAGATACCGCGATCCATAATGTCTACGTCTGAATTTTCATTTACAACAAGGCATGACTCATGAGCTCTCAATGTGGGACATGCTATTGTCCAACAAAATGGTGGCTTCATTGATATAGGCTCCCATTAACTCTGTGTCTACGTTCTATGATCTAGAGCGCGTCTGGTACATTGCACCCAACAAGTAGTCTCAGATTATGGTCAACAGAGCAGGAAATACCGAGAGTTCCAAAGAAGCGGGAACTCAGTGACGGATCAGCAGATGAGAAGATGTCAATAACGATATCAGGAAAATTTTCAACAGCCAGAAGACGAATCTCCCTAACTCAGGACACTATATCTACGTATATAGTAAGCTACTCGACTTACCTATCTCGCGTGCCCCTTGAATACGACGTGCTTTTTCCCTTTATCCGGAAAATACCAATTTCGTAAATTATCCGCTTGGGAAACCTGATCTTCCTAGCCGGTGAATTAAATTCAACCATTCCTTACATAATATATCTCTGTGTGGTAGGTCCAGCTGTCTCGAACTACTGCCAAAGCTTCATGTGCTACTTCTGTAGCAGCATGTTCCTCACTCGTTCAGGTAAACAAGACTTGTTGGTCTACTGCGTGAATGCTGTGAAGCCGATAATCCAGAAAGTACTAGGTAAAGTCGAAAACATTTTCTTTTCCTTGTCTTGTACTTTTTCAGTCTTATTCTTGTTCTTTTGGGTAAATACTGTTGCTTTCTTATTGGTTTATAGCACAAGTCATACTGATTGCTAATATGGTTGTCGAAAGTAGCCTTAGAAAAGCCACTAAAACAACATACTCTGTAGTCACAAGGGCTTCAGCTAGAGAAGGAAAAAATCCAGGGTCTTCAACCGCTTCCCGCATACATATACTAAAGACTCGTGTAGGTTTCGTCCGTCCTGATACTGCGCCTGCATTGCCATAGTCTAGTACTGAAATGGCATAGGCAATACCAGGGGGACAGGATACTACACCTGCATCATCTGAAGGCCAGTGTGTAAAACACGGCAAACCTATTTTGTCACCCTGGCATAGTCCCACAAACCGTGTCTACGGATAGCAGAAACAACACAGTCTCACGCAGCTCCCCACCTGCCAACATCACACTGCCAAAATTTGGCAAAGACATTAAGAAGGACACACCAGTCCTACTGACTGTAAATGCCAATTTTAACAAGGTGTAGATTCACAAGGTTGCATCCACATCAGGGGAAGATAGATTTACAAAAGCACCACTTCCATCCACTAGCAACACAAAAAAGGCTGGCCAGATACCAATGAAGCCTAATGCTCCTGACGATGGAAAGGAATGCAAGAAGCCGAAGGCCGAACCTAAGTCTGAGGTTAGTCGGTCCAACTCTCTTATCCTCATTAACGTAACTGTGAGCAAGGATACCTTGCTTGAACAACAGGCATTGTTTGATTAGGAACAGTGATCCAACCTGTGCAATAAATCAGCTCAGAACACTAGTTCAGCAAATTTGAGCAGGCTGTACAGAGGTGTCCAAAGGCCTCAGGGTAAGCCACCACCATTAAAGGGTACTGTTACTCACGTCTCGGAAACCGTTAATGCCCAGCTCTTGCTACGCTGGGACTCATGCTGTTCCTCGAAGCTTCTCAGAAACGCTTAGTACGAACGGACACAATTACCAGGACCCAGTTTGGCGACTCGAGAATTATTTATTCTAACACCGACATACAGCCAACTTTACAACTAAGGTCTACAAACAAATACTACAATAATAAATCACAATATTACTTCTGAGGGTTCTCTCCTGACTTTTTTCTGAACAGCGACCGATGAGACGATGACTGTCGTATTGATGCCTCCGCGAAAATTGGGGAAGTTGATTTTAAGCAAACAACCATGAATTGATCGTTCAATCTTCAACTGCATTGACACTTCCCGCCCAAAAAGGGATCCATCCCTTTCTTCCATCACGACCAATACACGTTGACTTGAATGCCATTGTGAGAACCTGGGTTACACGGACAAAGCTGAAATGGAAAACAAACAGCAAAGCCAACACACCACAGGCATACCCACGGCACAGTCTCACACATCGATGACGACCCACGCCTTCCAGTTAAAGGCATCCTCTTGACATCTTGCAACACAATCGCCACTTGCTAGAATGACTCTTGCAGAACGCAACGTGACCATAGCAGCATCTCATGATACTCTTCGCACATCCTCTTATCTACTTAAACCTTCCACTAGTACGGGACCGGATGGCCTCGCTTCGATAATTTTCAAAAACAGTGGGTGTGATATACCCTTGTTACTTCTTAAATTCTTCTCAATATCTATGGACACTGGCACTTACCCTAGTGAGTGGAAAACTAGCTTCATAATTCCACATTACAAATCTGGTGATAGGGCAAACGTCCGCAATTACAGACCCATAAATATAACCCCAGTTATCTCACGAATCATGGAGAAAGTTGTAAAAGATCAATTGTCAGACTACCTAATTAGGGAAGATCTTGTTACAAGGTCTCAACACGGATTTCTCAAAAATAGATCCTGCGTTACTTGCCACTTCGACTTTTTCAACTGCATCACTAGTAGTCGCGAAGCACGTAAGCTAGTCGTTGTTCTCTACTTCGATATATCTAGGGCATTTGACATGGTATCTCACAGTATTCTCTTTGAGAAGCTGTACTCTTGTGGAATTCGCAACCCATTACTGAACTGGTTAAAATCATTTCTAAGCAACAGGGTACAAATAACCAAAGTTGGATCTGTATTGTCTCATCCTAGGCAGATCTCAAGTGGGGTCGTGCAAGGTAGTGTCCTAGGTCCACTTTTATTCACAGTCTACATTAACAGCATTTGCAAGTGCTTCACCTCAGGTAAACCATTCCTATATGCTGACGACCTCAAAGTCGTCTACTCCTGCTACACTCATGAATTAAGCGATATGGTTACTAAAATACATCTTGAACTAAGTAGCCTTGCAACGTGGTGTGCCGATTCCTGTCTAAATTTTAACATTGACAAATGCGGCTGGATTTGTATTGGCAACAGTAACCTTGATCTAACTCTTGAAATAAATGGGCGAAAACTAGCTAAGCTCAACTCAGTCGTAGATCTCGGTATTAGATACTCTAGTAACCTAACGTTCGCTGAACAGACTGATTATGCCAGACGTAAAACGCGAAGGCTGATAGGATGCATAACACGCAATTTCTTTTGTTGTGAAACTAGGGTTTTATTATACAAAGTATGTGTCCGACCTATCTTAGAATACTGCCCGTTTATTCTTAGCGGACTAAGACAAAATGACAAGCTTAAATTAGAGGGAGTGCAACGGCAGTTTACCTCAAGAACTCTTGGTTTAGAAAGTGGTCTGGAATACCATGAGCGATGCGAAAGACTAAGATTAGAACCCCTCTGGAAAAGACGCCTTAAGCTAAACCTTATCTTTTACTACAAGCTAACTAATCTTCTCTTGCATTCCTCCGAGCCAATAACTAAACCTACCGCTGTCATCAGTTACAATCTTAGAAATCATCACAACCTAGCTGCTATGGAGCACTGTCAGACTTACGTGCGGTACAACTTCTTCTTAAATAAGTTTTCAGTCATTTGGAATAGACTACCAGCTAATGTGCGCGATGCAAACACACTTCCAGTGTTCATCTCCTCAGTCACCAGACTACTCAAAGATGACAATGCACTTTTGCGCCTGACTCTTACACCTTCTTTTTCACCCTACATAGATATTTTAAGTTCTTTAAACGTGTAGTTACAACAAACTACAATTATAAATTTTAATATTATTGGAACTAGATGATTAACATTTCTACACAGGACAGTAATAATATTAGTTTACACATAATATAAAAGTTAGCATAACGGGACTAGTTAGTTTGTGTACCAAAATAACCACAGTTACTAAACAGAATATATATGTATATATTTATTAATCACTCCTTAAGGACTCCCGTTGCTTTCTTTTGCGTTGCTGTTGTTTGTCTTCTTTTTTCTCTCACCATTTCAGCTTCCATTTGACTTTTTGAATGAGAATGAATAATGTGGATATTTGACCATTTACAATGACAAATGATCTGCAAACATTATTGGTCCAGTATCTTTCAGTTGCCTGGTTAATAACGAATTAACTTTCTCCACGACGCAACCTGGATTACATTTGTGGAATATACTCTTATACCAATGGAAAAGTATCTATTTGTAATACAACGTCACGATTGTAGCTTATAACATAACTGATCGTATCTGTAAAAATAGCTTCCTTATTACCCAATTTGGATATAAATCAAATCAAAAATAAGATTCGGATTTGTACACACCCAAGTTATATTGAGGAATTACTTCAAGCTTTATTTTTTCCCAAGTATTTTTAATCCATCCAAAACTTACTTGGGTTTTTTTGTTAATGCGAAGACAATATTCCTATATTTCATGACGTGCTCCATTGAATGACTGGTTATCATATTGTTCCCACAGACCTAAGACAAAAACGCCAGCAACCATGTAACTTAACCATAAACCAAATTTATGAAATTTATATAATGCTTATCCATGCCTGTATATTTGGTGTGTCCTACACAAGTAGGAAAAAATGTGTATTTTATTAAAACATTATTATTAATTATGATTGCTAATCGTATATGTAATTTATCATATTGATGATGCCTGTAAACTGGCGTCTCTCATGTACAAAATGAGAATATACTATTATTATTATTATTACTCACTACCAATTACCACTGCGATCGCTTGTCACTCATCCTGCCTCAGTTCTAGTGACGGTGACGTATGCAAGCCTCAGTCGTCTACACTCTCGCTCCCTGGCGTGCGGGACCACAGCTAATCCTCATCTCCGTGTGCATGTCATTCTCACCACTAGCCTCACCGACGTATACGACCCATCTGCTGTCTCTAACATTAATCCATTCATTCACGGATGAGGAAGACTCGAAACAAATTCAGAAGTAAGCACGACGAACAATTTAACGAAATTATGCATAACGACAAGATACAAAAACAAAAAATAAACACAGTAAACCTACAAACACCAATTGATATGAAACACCACATGTCATCCAAGTCTCATAAACCGTTAATGCCCAGCTCTCGCTACGGTCGGGCCCACGCTGTTCTTAGAAGATTTCTCAGAAACGCTTAGTTATAACGGACGCAAAAACCAAAACACCGATCTCCCGTTTGATATTTCTGTATTGTTACACCGACATATAAAAGGAATAAGCGAACTAAGCAAACTAAGGTTTCTGAGGATGTTTCACTCTTCTTTCTGAACAGCGACCGATGAGACGATGACTGTCGTATTGATGCCTCCGCGACAATTGGGGAAGTTGATTTTGAGCAAACAACCATGAATTGATCGTTCAATCTTCAACTCCATTGACACTCCCCGGTAAAAATAGGATCCAACCCACTTTTACTTCACGACCAATACACCTTGACTTGAATGCCATTGCGAGAACCTGGGTCACACGGACAAAGCTGAAATGGAAAACAAACAGCAAAGCCAACACACCACAAGCACACTCACAGCACAATCTCACACATCACTGACGACCTGCGCCTCCAGACAGAGACCTCCCGTTGAAACCTTGCAACACAATCGCCATTTGCTAGAATGACTCTTGCAGAATGCAACGTGACCATGGCGGGACCTCACGATATTCTACGCACATCCTTTTAATTACTCACTACCAATTACCACTGCAATCGCTTGTCACTCATTCTGCCTCAGTTCTAGTAGCGGTGACGCATGCGAGCCTCAGTCGTTTACACTCTTTCTCCCTGGCGTGTCGGACCGCAGCTAACAATTATCTCCGTGTGCGTTTCATTCTCAGCAATAGCCTAGCCTCCCCGGCGTACACGACCCATCTGCTGTATCTAACATCAATAAATTCATTCATGGATGTAGAAGACAAGAAAGAACTTCAGAAGTAATCACGACGAAAATTTTAACAAAATTATGCAATAAAAACAAGGCACGAAAACAACGAGTAACCACAACTGATCCCAAATAACAAATTGCGAAGACACACCACACGTATACACAAACAGTACAAATAACCTCGCGGATCATGTCTTGGTGGAATTCCTTTGAAGAATTGCAGGACTTACAACAGTACGCCTACAACCCTTCTCAGGTTGACGATTATAAGTTGTGGAATGTCCAGACACAAACAAGATTAACCAACAATTACATCAATTGGAACTCACACAAATATTTAACACAAACATATGCACAATCAACACATAAAAAAGTGGATTCTGGCATGACGAACTACCCAGGAAGAACTGTAGGACTTACAGCAGTACGCCTACAACCCTTCTCAGGTTGACGCCCTAGGTTGGAAAATCGTCGCAGAGTTCATTTGCTGACTTCCTTCTATCAGCTATATCCTCAAATCTGAACGGCAACACGCTCATGTCATTGTATCGTGGAATATAGATGACCAACAAACACACGACATATTTCATCAACCAAGTGTACAAACAGAGTAATTTACACCAAAGATAATAACATTCAAATAGTAACTTGAAACTAGAAATGCCTTTATTCGTGCAAGTCAATTTAACAATTACTCTCGCGCTTACACTTGGCTTATCCTCACTAAACTGACCATTGATATTCGTCCTTTCAAACGAACTGATACTAGCATAGTCATTGCACAAGATACTTGAGTTGATGGGCGTCTGTTTTATTGTGGATGACAGCACCAACGACGACTGATTGTTATCAGTTGATGAAGTTAGCGGTGGAACAAAAGCTGTTGTTGCTCGGCTTTCAGAAATTTGTCTACCTCCAAGACCACCACCACTGCTGTCTTTTACTATCAGCTCAGGTTTAGCACTAGCATCTGATGATAGGTGGGCTACATGCTGATCAATCACACTGACGGTCTCACAAGTATGCATGCCTTCTGGAACTGCATCTGCATTTATTTCTACTTCACGTTGTAGTTGTCCAGAACCTTTAATTAAACTAGCAGTAGTAGGCATATCCCTCATCTCATCATGATCAACCAAAGACAACTGTGAAGTATCATGATCATTATCACGAATATTCACTTTACTGTCAACTTCATCATTTTCAAACTCTTTAATAACAGAAGTAGACAATTTTGGTTCCTCCTCGCAAATCATAAAAGGTTTTATAACTTCACCCTGACTAGTAATACCTTGTAAACTTTTGGAGTCAGAACTCCACTCTGAAGCAGTAACTCTATTCTGTGACACTCTATTCAGCAACGGCTTACCAGTTGCAACTACAGATTTCTTCACAACAACGTTATCGTCACACAATTCGGAGTCAGGCCTGGAGTTTACATTTAGCTTATCACTGAACTTGCTTACTGGTTCACAGTTCACTTCTGTATGCACCACTTTCACACGTGTAAAACAAAGCCGTGTTTGTCTTGCATCTTGTAACTTATCTGTTGAGGATGTACTAAGAAACCTGTTACGCTCACTAGGTCTATATGCGTTACCAGACATCATGGAGTCTTCTCGATATCGACCTCTTTGAGGCCTACTCGTCATCAATGATTGCATTTTGCTCTCAGACTGCTCTATTCTAGGGGTGAGATGTAATAGACTGGCGAACTTGCTCATAGATTGATTGACACTAGTATTTACCAGTTTCAGGATATCATCAAACTTTGGCTCGATACCCTCATCCTCCATACGGGAGCTTATCTTCACCCACTTCCTTTGCAGTCGAGTAGGTAGACGTCTTGCTATTACTTCTAGTATAAAACTCGAGTTGAGGTCACTCATGCGATTCATCGAAATCATTCCATTCTTGTAAATTAGCAAATTATCTAAAAACTCAGTAAGTGCCTGGGAGTCATCCTGTAATTGACCACCGTTACCCTTAACAGCCTCGAATAATTTCCCTGCGATCATCGAAGGTCTTCCAAACGTTTGACGTAATATGCTCATAGCCTCTTCGTAGCCCTCTTTTGGCTTCATAAACTTACAGCACTGTATAGCTCTTGCAGCATCTCCAGTGCAATATCCCATCGAATACATTAACTTCAATTCATCACTTAGTAGAAAACCACTCAACATGATCTCAAACTCCTTTACAAATTGTAAATAAACAGCCGGGTTTCCATCAAAACACCGTGGTTCAAATTTAGGGAGTTTGACGTTCCTATTATCCCTGAACGGCGAAACAGTAACACCAACCATGTCATACTTAACATCAGACACATCGTTACAATTAACAGACAAGTCACCATGACTTACTTTCCTGTTTGCATCCAAGACACTCTGTCCCTTCTTTGACCCAGGAATTGTTGAACTTGAGAAAATTCCAAAAATGTTCCAGATATTGCTTGTTCAAAGAGGACTTGACCGGCACCAGGAAAGATGAACGGCGACTATCCAAACTTTTACCAACTGCTTGAATCCGCCGGATCTGTTTCTATCGTCAGAAACTGTCAATCACGTCTCATAAACCGTTAATGCCCAGCTCTCGCTACGGTCGGGCCCACGCTGTTCTTCGAAGATTTCTCAGAAACGCTTAGTTATAACGGACGCAAAAACCAAAACACCGATCTCCCGTTTGATATTTCTGTATTGTTACACCGACATATAAAAGGAATAAGCGAACTAAGCAAACTAAGGTTTCTGAGGATGTTTCACTCTTCTTTCTGAACAGCGACCGATGAGACGATGACTGTCGTATTGATGCCTCCGCGACAATTGGGGAAGTTGATTTTGAGCAAACAACCATGAATTGATCGTTCAATCTTCAACTCCATTGACACCACACGTATATACAATAGTAAACATAACATCGAAGACAATGTCTTGATGGAAATACTTTGAAGAATCCCAGGACTTACAGCAGTACGCCTGCAAAACTTCTCAGGTTGACGTATATCAATGGAGTTCAAGATTGAACGATCAATTCATGGTTGTTTGCTCAAAATCAATTTCTGCAATTTTCACGGAGGCATCAATACGACAGTCATCGTCTCATCGGTCGCTGTTCAGAAAGAAGAGTGAAACATGGTCAGAAGTAATACAATGATTTATTATTGTAATATTTGTTCACAGACCTTAGTTCACTTATTCCTTTTATATGTTGATGTAACAATAAAGAAATCTCAAGCGGCAGATCGGTGTTTTGGATTTTTCGTCCGTTATAACTAAGCGTTTCTGAAAACTTCAAGGAACAGCGTGGGCCCGAGCGCAGCGAGAGCTGGGCATTAACGGTTTATGAGACGTGATTGACAGTTTTTGACGATGGAAATAGATCATGCGGATTCAAACAGTTGGTGAAAGTTTGGATAGTCGCCGTTCATCTTTCCTGGTGCCGGTCAAGTCCTCTTTGAACAAGCAATATCTGGAACATTTTTGGAATTTTCTCAAGTTCAACAATTCCTGGGTCAAAGAAGGGACAGAGTGTCTTGGATGCAAACAGGAAAGTAAGTCATGGTGACTTGTCTGTTAATTGTAACGATGTGTCTGATGTTAAGTATGACATGGTTGGTGTTACTGTTTCGCCGTTCAGGGATAATAGGAACGTCAAACTCCCTAAATTTGAACCACGGTGTTTTGATGGAAACCCGGCTGTTTATTTACAATTTGTAAAGGAGTTTGAGATCATGTTGAGTGGTTTTCTACTAAGTGATGAATTGAAGTTAATGTATTCGATGAGATATTGCACTGGAGATGCTGCAAGAGCTATACAGTGCTGTAAGTTTATGAAGCCAAAAGAGGGCTACGAAGAGGCTATGAGCATATTACGTCAAACGTTTGGAAGACCTTCGATGATCGCAGGGAAATTATTCGAGGCTGTTAAGGGTAACGGTGGTCAATTACAGGATGACTCCCAGGCACTTACTGAGTTTTTAGATAATTTGCTAATTTACAAGAATGGAATGATTTCGATGAATCGCATGAGTGACCTCAACTCGAGTTTTATACTAGAAGTAATAGCAAGACGTCTACCTACTCGACTGCAAAGGAAGTGGGTGAAGATAAGCTCCCGTATGGAGGATGAGGGTATCGAGCCAAAGTTTGATGATATCCTGAAACTGGTAAATACTAGTGTCAATCAATCTATGAGCAAGTTCGCCAGTCTATTACATCTCACCCCTAGAATAGAGCAGTCTGAGAGCAAAATGCAATCATTGATGACGAGTAGGCCTCAAAGAGGTCGATATCGAGAAGACTCCATGATGTCTGGTAACGCATATAGACCTAGTGAGCGTAACAGGTTTCTTAGTACATCCTCAACAGATAAGTTACAAGATGCAAGACAAACACGGCTTTGTTTTACACGTGTGAAAGTGGTGCATACAGAAGTGAACTGTGAACCAGTAAGCAAGTTCAGTGATAAGCTAAATGTAAACTCCAGGCCTGACTCCGAATTGTGTGACGATAACGTTGTTGTGAAGAAATCTGTAGTTGCAACTGGTAAGCCGTTGCTGAATAGAGTGTCACAGAATAGAGTTACTGCTTCAGAGTGGAGTTCTGACTCCAAAAGTTTACAAGGTATTACTAGTCAGGGTGAAGTTATAAAACCTTTTATGATTTGCGAGGAGGAACCAAAATTGTCTACTTCTGTTATTAAAGAGTTTGAAAATGATGAAGTTGACAGTAAAGTGAATATTCGTGATAATGATCATGATACTTCACAGTTGTCTTTGGTTGATCATGATGAGATGAGGGATATGCCTACTACTGCTAGTTTAATTAAAGGTTCTGGACAACTACAACGTGAAGTAGAAATAAATGCAGATGCAGTTCCAGAAGGCATGCATACTTGTGAGACCGTCAGTGTGATTGATCAGCATGTAGCCCACCTATCATCAGATGCTAGTGCTAAACCTGAGCTGATAGTAAAAGACAGCAGTGGTGGTGGTCTTGGAGGTAGACAAATTTCTGAAAGCCGAGCAACAACAGCTTTTGTTCCACCGCTAACTTCATCAACTGATAACAATCAGTCGTCGTTGGTGCTGTCATCCACAATAAAACAGACGCCCATCAACTCAAGTATCTTGTGCAATGACTATGCTAGTATCAGTTCGTTTGAAAGGACGAATATCAATGGTCAGTTTAGTGAGGATAAGCCAAGTGTAAGCGCGAGAGTAATTGTTAAATTGACTTGCACGAATAAAGGCATTTCTAGTTTCAAGTTACTATTTGAATGTTATTATCTTTGGTGTAAATTACTCTGTTTGTACACTTGGTTGATGAAATATGTCGTGTGTTTGTTGGTCATCTATATTCCACGATACAATGACATGAGCGTGTTGCCGTTCAGATTTGAGGATATAGCTGATAGAAGGAAGTCAGCAAATGAACTCTGCGACGATTTTCCAACCTAGGGCGTCAACCTGAGAAGGGTTGTAGGCGTACTGCTGTAAGTCCTACAGCTCTTCATAGGGTAGGTCATCAGTGAGCAGTCTAATATGTTTGGTGTGTGATTTTGTACATATGTTCATATTGTATATACTGATTTGGTATCATTTATCATCTAGCTGTTGGTAATTCCGTTTGTGTCCGGACATTCCACAACTTACAATCGTCAACCTGAGAAGAGTTGTAGTCGTACTGGTGTAAGTCCTGCAATTCTTCAAAGGAATTCCACCAAGACATGATCGGCGAGGTTGTTTGTACTATTTGTATATACGTGTGGTGTGTCATTGCAATTGGTGTATTTTGGATTCATTGTGTTTACTTGTTGTTTTCGTATCTTGTTTTTATTGCGTAATTTTGTTAAGAGTTTCGTCGTGATTACTTCTGAAGTTTTTTCGAGTCTTCTACATCCATGAATGAATTGGTTGATGTTAAGGAGAGCAGATGGGTCGTGTACGCCGGGGAGGCTAGGCTATTGCTGAGAATGAAATGCACACGGAGATAATTGTTAGCTGCGGTCCGACACGCCAGGGAGAAAGAGTGTAAACGACTGAGGCTCGCATGCGTCACCGCTACTAGAACTGAGGCAGAATGAGTGACAAGCGATTGCAGTGGTAATTGGTAGTGAGTAGATAAGACGATGTGCGTAGATTATCATGAGTTGATGCTATGGTCACGTTGCATTCTGCAAGAGTCATTCTAGCAAATGGCGATTGTGTTGCAAGGTTTCAACGGGAGGTCTCCGTCTGGAGGCGCAGGTCGTCAGTGATGTGTGAGATTGTGCCGTGGGTATGCTTGTGGTGTGTTGGCTTTGCTGTTTGTTTTCCATTTCAGCTTTGTCCGTGTGACCCAGGTTCTCGCAATGGCATTCAAGTCAAGGTGTATTGGTCGTGAAGTAAAAGTGGGTTGGATCCTATTTTTACCGGGGAGTGTCAATGGAGTTGAAGATTGAACGATCAATTCATGGTTGTTTGCTCAAAATCAACTTCCCCAATACGACAGTCATCGTCTCATCGGTCGCTGTTCAGAAAGAATAGTGAAACATGGTCAGAAGTAATACAATGATTTATTATTCTAATATTTGTTCACAGACCTTAGTTCACTTATTCCTTTTATATGTTGATGTAACAATAAAGAAATCTCAAGCGGCAGATCGGTGTTTTGGATTTTTCGTCCGTTATAACTATGCGTTTCTGAAAACTTCAAGGAACAGCGTGGGCCCGAGCGTAGCGAGAGCTGGGCATTAACGGTTTATGAGACGTGATTGACAACATAATTAAGTCGGATGATCGTTTCAGAGTTCATTTGCTGACCTCCTTCTCTCATCTTTATCCTCAAATTTGAACGGTGACACGCTTATGTCATTGTATCGTGGAATGTAGAAGACTAACAAACATGCGAGCTCATGAATCATGCCTTGTTGTAAATGAAAATTCAGACGTAGACATTATGGATCGCGGTATCTATAACAGATACTTCAATCTCCGTTGAAAGGACAAGAGCATTTAAATTTGCTCAGCGCTCTTGTGAGTATGAGAATGAACATTTCACTTTAGATCTACCATGCAAACGTAGGGATTACTTAGTGATTTGTAGTGACGACTCATGAGTTCACGGGGGAAGTTTGTCCTGGATCCAAATCTGTAGATTAGCTTTTATAAGGTCATTGATAAACATATGCCAAAAGGTTAAACAGAGATGGTGATAAATGAACGCAACCGACGAAGGTGGTGCCTACATAATCATCAAGTTCTCAGTCTCAAAAAGCCGGTCAAATTGCATTAAAGTGCTCCGCCGGCAAACACATATTGAGCGGTCAGTTCCAGACGAAGTCTCAGTCTGTGCGGAAGAAAGTTGGACATTCAGACCTCTGCTTTGATTCCACAATATTACAAGCTGTAATTAGACAAGGAAAAGGTGCAAAAACACCACTGGAGTTTTACAGTGGAACTCTCACGTTACATATAACTGCCATTAAAAGGCTTAAAAATAATGTAGTCGATCATAGAATAGAAAACAAAGTGAAAATCTGTGATTATCATCCTGAATACACAAATATTTTCTAAACTGATCGAGATGAGACGACCAGAAATCGTCTTACCAAATAGCATTGGGTAGGTAGAGGTGTTGATGTTTAGCGCCTACGGTGAGTTACTCTCAGATGTCAGAGAAGGCGTATGAC